TGTTCTGTCTGCTCCTCCATCCTGTTTCAAGTTAAAGAACCAGCCGCTTCACCCTGTAAAATAGGGTTCACGTGTTAGTCAGATTTGTCCTGGGGTGGGGGGCTTATTTGCCTGGCCTAGGTGGGGTGACAGGGAGTGTTTTTTTTGTGTTGTTTGCACTATGTGTTGTTTTAATGGACATTCTGCACTTCTTTTTCTTTTAATCATTAAAGATTTGCACCAGTTAATTTAAATGTTGTGTCCTGCATTTGTCCATGTCTTGTTGATGGTCATGTCACACCCTCAATTCAACTTGGCTAAAATTCAGTATCTGATTGTTATATCACCACTTGTTCCATCTTTCCTGTTTCTCTGTAACACCTCTGTTTACAAAACTGTAAAAGCAAATACTGTTAAACCGTGCACATTAAATCTTTATTCACATGGGCTATTATTTAAAGAAAAAAGCCTAACATACCTTGAAGGAGGTGAGCATCGTGGTAGTGGCAAGGATTGTCATAGGCATATTGTTTTTTAATCTGTTTTCTAGAAGCACCACAGTTGTGTAACATATAATGGATCAATTTTTTGTCTTGTATTGCAAAAAACGTTTTTTTTTTCAGTATTTTTAGTCTTTTTGTAGCAAAATAAAAGTGAAATAATTTCCATTTCTTAGTTAAAAGCAGCGTGATATCAAAACACAGCCACGTCCTTTTAAAAGATTCTCATTACTGAAGTCAGCTGTCTGGCACTTAAAACTATTACTAGTATTCACCAAGTGGATACGTTATCAGACATTCTGTATAGCTACAAGGAAGGTTGTCAGCAGTAGTACATCACATCTTCCTCAACTTATTCAGAAAACATATGTTGTTTAGGGCCTCCTGCTGCAGGCTAATAGAGGAAAGATAGATTAAAAGGTACAATGTAGAGACCCTAAAGTAGAATCTGTGTTTACATTCACATAGTTTTTTTTCTTTGGTAGCTATAAAGACAGAAAGGGTCAGACACAATCCATGTCTTTCTATTTTGTCTTGCCCATTATTTTCTTGTTTTCCTTTTTATTTGCTCCAATGTCTTGAAAACCATGGCCTGTGTCGCTAAATCCCACTGGAGTAAAGAAACCTGATAAAGATAATAGGTTCTGAACGTGATAAAATCTTGCAGTTTAGATATTAATAAAGAAGACCTGTGCATTGAACCTTCAGGAAATATTCTAATTTTTTTTTTTTTGTTATGTATGCACGCACTTAGTGTACTGTACTTTGTATTTTTCCTACAGAATTTAAGGAAGATAAATTACAACTGCTACTACTGTCCTACAGCATTGTGATGATTTGGAATTGCAGTCACACTAATTGAGTGAATTTTAAGATGTGTTAATTCCAAATGTAATTAACCGGTTACTTTCCTGGTGGTATTATAAAACAAAACAATGTAAACCAACGTAAAACCAAATGGGAAGTATGCATAGTTTATCTAAAATATGAGCATTAAGTTTCTTAAACAACAACATCATAATTAGCCAAATTATTGGTCAACCATCTTTAGTGGACTGTTGCCCATAAAAACCTGTTATAAACCTGATCAGATGATGGCAACTTATCTCTTCATATATAATTATATTTTTCATCCCACGTCTGAAGTTGGGATTGTTTTTTGCTTATTGTATTATTTTTTATAGTTCAAGAAATATAAGGTTTAGGGTCTCGACATTTCAATAGCTGAATGTAAGAGACAACATAAATTAAACTTGAATATAAATCTTGTATTGAGACTGAACATTTCACATCATGACTTTAACCATCTATTAGGGGAGCCTCGCTGAGATTAATTTTACAGTGAGTCTCTTATATTTCTGATGTATTTATTAAACATTTGCTGAAATCAATGGATTTTTATTTTCATTTGTTACATTTGTTTTTGTTTCTCTTTTCTCTATTACTGTGATTCAAGTTGTGTAAGTTTTAAAGTATACTTGTTTCAACATCACATTTGTTGTTTACATTGTAATAAGTAACCGTTTCGGTTAGGTTCTGTTTCTGTAAGGTAAAGTTTCTCTTTTTTTTCATTATATTATGTTTTTTATGGAATGAAAAATAACAGTGCTTATAACAGTGACATGGATTAATTACAAACGTCTTTTTGTGCAGATGAATTAAATGTTAACTCCTTGTATGTAGGCTGGGCTTAATAGATGATTACTGATGTGCAAAGATTATATCCGCAGAACCTTCTCATTGTCTTTAATTTCAGTCTCCCTTATGTTACTGTGTACCTGGAACTATACCTAAAATAAAGCAGGACATCTAATTTTTAAATGAAATGGGAGAACATGTTCAAATCTGAAAACAACATCTTGTCATTTACTTGGTGTCCCTCACATATTTTACCTCTACAAATGAGGCGCGTGTCCCCACATGGGAAGAAAGGTAATCAGTGAAGGGAATAAGTGCTACTGTCCTGCTGTAAATCAGCTGTAGCAAATGTGCATTGTAACAAATTGTCTCAATACCAAAGTGACATTTGATGTCTCTGTTTATTTATCAGAAAGACAAAAAATAAAATTAAGTAATTATTGGTGGAGTGAATGCAAAAATATAAAAGACATCAGATACACCACTGTGTCATAATGCAGTATACACTACAGTAATAAATTTAACAGGCTATGCAAGAGCTATAATTGCATATTAGTGACCTGTTAGTACATCAGATTGGTAAGATTCTGTGATATATACAGTGTACTTTTTTCCTAACAAAGAAATCCTTTAGGTTTAGTAGCAGTGTTTTATTTAGAAGTAATGAGTTCTCTCCTGCTTATCTTTGAATATTTGATTCCCATTCCTGATCTGCAGTTCACAGAGAAACAACCTTCAGTGCTGTTTCAAGTGTTTCACACCTGCCTGTAGTGCATGAAGAAGTGCAATAAAGGGAAGAATGTTAAGCATGCAAATGTGTTCTTAAGATATTTGAAAGCCTTACTGCCATATTAAACAGTTGTATTGCTCTGTTCACTGTTGTACTTTTTTATCATAGACTGAAAACATATCATAGGCCTTAATGTACATATTTTTATTTTCAGTTTAGAGGACCACACATAAATACTGCTTCCATTTCACTTAAGTCTGTAGCATCATTAGCTTCATGAACTCTTCATAAGCTGTTTTATAATAATAGCATCTTACACTTTGATTTTAAGGTAAAGTATCATCAGGAAATTAAGATTATAGTAATTATTTTAAAAATACATCAAACTTGTTTTAGCACAAAAGCTTAGCATACATTTTAAAATGTATTGAGCAAAACTAGCACCTTGATTATTTTTGTCTTATAAACATAATGTTGAGATATTGTAACCAGTATGCTGGGTGTTTAGCTCAAAGGTAGAGATTCTGCTTATGTTTAATTTTCCCCCATCTATTTTTCATTTGATTTGTGCATGTGATTTTTATGATATAGTGGATGTTAGAACAAAAAGGCCTATTCTTTGGACTTGTAAGAAATAAATGGAAAGGGTTTGATTCTTCTGTACTGTCATCGATAGCCACTTGCATAGTCTATTTAAAACCAAGCAGATGTTTAGAAAAATAGAGATGGCTGTGGTGAGCTTTCAGTTTGTAGCAGTATCTCGGAACTTGATTCTGATTAAAGATTTCAGCTTTGCAGCAGTTGGTCTCAAAACTGAACTTTGTCTTGGGGTGATCAGTGGGAACAAAGGTAGTGCTGAATACTCAAGCTGGAATACCGCTCACAATAAAATAACATTTGCATGTTGGGCTTGCCAAAAGGGTTCAGATGTAATGTTGCTGTTCTGTTTCAAGTTAAAAACAATCGCCATGTGGTTTCCACATCTGAGACAGCAGCATTTCTTTGTGAAAAGAGCACATTGGATATATGGAAATCGCTCTTCTAAAGGCTGTGTCAAAATCAAGATGTTTATTTTCATTTTATTTCTGTTGTACAGACAGAAAACTTATTTTAAAAGAAGGTATGCCAGCTGTCCCTGTTTGGTTCGAGGGATCTATGCTGTTTTTTTCTGTGTACATTGAAGAAGAGGAATGTATCATTTTGTGAAGTCACCTTTGATCTTTGCATTGGTTATATTGCTTGTTCCACTGATACGTAAAGAGGCTGTGGCTTTGAAAATAAGGAGAATGTGGGACAGATACATATCAATTAGCTAATCTACTCTTTCATCAACAGGCTAACAATCTAAAACTAAGGCAATTATGCAGCAAACTTTAGTTTTTCCTAATGCATCAATTTAAATTATCATGGCTAACTCATTCAATTATAATTAAAAATCATTTTTACCTTTGTTAAATGTTCCATTTTAAATAAAGCTTCCAAGTTGTAACTATTTAACTAATAGTAACTACTATTTCTGAAGTAGTAACTATTTAAATACATTTAAATTTATATTGTTAAATTTTTAACACATGCCTAATGGAATCAAAATCTGTGCATTATTTTGATTTAACAATTGACGTGATTTGTCCCTGACAGAAGTGTGTCAATTGCTGTCAGTTTTTTTTTTTTCAGTTAACCATAACCATAAATCTTTTTGACTTCTTTCATATATTTTTATCAAATGCTTTTGATGATCTATTTGAAAGATTCTGTTTTGAGTAGGTTTAAATTAAAATGCACACAAAGTTTTGTTTACAAACCCATTGTCTAAATAAATCACTGGTAAGGAATTGACTGCTTAACAAATCACATTGTCAGCGCAGGTAATTTTGTACTGGGCTTAAATTTTGAAAAGGAAAATTAAATGGATTAATATGTGAGATTCTAAGTATCCTGTTAGATTAAATTTAATAAATTATAATTTTTTTCCTAAGAAGACAAAGTAAATTAAAGAATAAAATTGCATGTAAGCAGCATTATTATATACTCATAGCCCTACATGCTTGATTGCTTTTGGAGTTGTATTTGTCCGATTGTATTTGCATAATTAGTGCGTTGTGAAATGAGAATGTCAACTGGTTTAATTTATTCCTTTTTTTCTTCGGTTTCAGTCTCAGCAGAAAACCTGGAGAAGAACTTAAAACAGATGGAGCGGCAGCTTCAACAGCTTGAGAAGGATTTAGAGACCTTTACGCCTGCGGAGGACATGCATGACAAGTTTGTCACAAAGATGACCATATCCTTCCTGACAGTTACAGTGGTCACTTAGCATTAGCCATTTAAGTCATAGATTTATTTAACATTCAGATTTCTTTTGCATAATCCTTGTATAAGTGCTCTGTCAGCTTCCACTCTGTTATTCAGACAAGGACACCTCAGAACTTACTTTCTTGAAACATATTTTGATTTTAATATTAAGCAGTCCTGGTGATGTAATTCCTATTTATTTTGAATTATGGTTTCAAAGTATTTTAATTGTAAAATGTTCTTTTTGTTTAAAGGTTAATTTATTAACTGCAGTTGCCAGACTGGTTAGAGACTAGTGTCTCGTCACTGACTTTTGCAGTGTGTAACGTGGTAGTCCAAAGCAGAGATCCTTCATCTTCACTGCAATTCAACAATTCTTTAAATGTCACCAAGATAATAGTTAAATAGTACGCTAGCCAAAAAAATGAAAAAGATTTACAAACAAAACATCCTCTCCTTTCAGCTTTTACCCTTTTTTTATTCTCAACTAAACGGGCCTGATGTGTTCAAAATGTTATCTTCTGTCTGAACGCTCAGTCAGCCATCTGTGTGTTTATCTCTATTTCATCTATTTCATTATTGCCAGAAGCATTAATACACTGTTTTAAAAGTTTTATATTATTTTTTTTATTTAGAAATGTCTAGGATACGATCATCATAATTGTTCTTTCATAGCACTACCTCTACCATTCTTTTGGTTAAACATTTAGGTTATTTCTATAATAAAAAGTTCCCCTAAATTTAAGTCCAGACACACCCTTGAGTTTTTTTTTTAGCGAGTTTGTAAGTTTTGGAATCATGAGTGTCAAAATACCACTGGCTGACAAAAGTTACTCCTATATTTCATCTTAAATCTTAGTATTTTTGCAAACGTCATTTTTCTACATTATGTGAATGTCTAAACATCATGTTTCTACCTTAACGTTTTTTTTAAGTTATATTTTAAGATTTATATCGTTTGTTTAGATAACTTTTCTCTCCCCTATGTGATACAAATCTCTCTTTGCTTCCATCGGATCAATAACTATCAGTTTTTCTTTCTGTCAGTCTATCACTATATTTTAAAGTAAATTAAGAATGACAACAAAATAATAACAGTGCCTTTAGCTAACATAAGCCTCCTATGTATCTGTATGTATCGTGGGAAGTCATTAGATGACTGACCATTGTTTTAGTAAATTACTCTACATCTGCCTAAATTAAGTGCCAGATGCAATTTTTTTTTTTACCTGCTCTTGATTGTGTTCTGTAAAATCAAGCTCTCAAATGATACATGTAGTAGTCCTCTACATCCTGTCCCAGAAGACTGGTGCTCATTTAAAAGTCTTGGATATGGTTCTAGTAATGCCTGGCAAGCACATTAATTAGGGAAGTGCTCTCAAGGTACGATATATTACTTAAGCAAAGGAAGTCTGATGAAAAGGTTAGGGCTGCAGCATAGCACTTGGTTGTCTGGAGCTGTCTGAACTTTTCTGCTTTAGACGGGAAGCTGTGTAGAATCCCACAAAAGTTTTCAGAAAAAGCAGCTTGCAAGAAATCCAAAACAGGAAGGATGTTGCCATGATGGAAACAATTTGTCATTCTGAGACCAATTACAGCCTGCAGCCTACTCTGTCACTAAATATCACAGTCAATGGGCTTTTAATGAAATGAATTGATTAGAATTCCCAATCCCTTTATAATTCTGATGTGCAAACAGTTGCTGTCTTCTCTGTAGACCAAGTTCATAATCTTTTTACAAAACCTATCTACATAAAGGTTTAGTTGACTTTTTAGACGTGAAAGCAGGTGAACTTAGTCCAGTTAAAGATTTCCTTTTTTGTGATTAGAGGAGGAATGGAAAATGTCTTTGCTGAAACATTGTGGTTTTGTCATTTTATTGTATGCTTTTAGTTGGAACATATTAGATGACAAGTAATCCACATATTAACACTTGATCTTAATTTGTTTAGTATTCACATTACTGGAAATGTTTATATACAGTATGTCATATATAGTGTCTTTTACATTCAATGTTAGAGCAGTTTGCAGTGTATTGTCAAGTGTAAATATCTCATCTACCTTTAGACGGTATCTATTGTTTCTACACTAGAATTCACATTGTTTCACATTGTTTGAAAGAAGAGACATAAGGGAATGTTTTTTTTTTCTTTTGGGGCTATCCAATAAAGGTGCATTTAGACTCGAATTTTACCTTAAAGCGATTTCCAGGGGATATGAGGAACATGACCTTTATCTCTTCATTTACTTCAGGTTAACCACTATACTGGGTCTTTTCTCATGTTGGCACCCTTTCCAGTTTTCAAATATTCCTGACAATTATTTAAAAAAAACAGGTATCTGCGTTTCACCTATTGCTTTATCATTCAAATATGTTAACGTATTTTCAGCCCCGCAAGCCAGAAAAGGCTTTATGCAGCTTTGTATTCCAATCAAGGAAATAAGCCAAGATTTCTAAGAAAAAAAAAAAGAAGTTGTCAGCAGAAAATGAAACATGACGCCATTTAACCTTCAGAAGATCAGCCAGGGGGAGTTATCTCGGGGTGACAGTCCCTGAGGAAATACAAAAGCCCACCAGTTGAATTTTGAATTATGTTTCTGAAAAGAAGTTATATGTTCGTGTTTCTTTATTGATTTTGTTTTCTTTGCTCATAGAAAGTATTCACTTTTTATTCTACTATGGATATGCTGTGGATATAAAACATGAATTATTTTGAATTGATATGCCCATACATTTATAAATGGAGATCAGTGGTGCATTAAAAAACAATCCACTAGTTAGAAGCTGTGCCAAATAGGTGATTGAGGTGACTGTTGCCAAATATATATTTTTTTATATACTGGTGTACTTTTACTCTCACCAGGACAAATGGACAGAAAATTGATGAATAAATATACTAAGGTTCATAATGAGTCTGAAATCTGAAGCCCCAAAATGGATTATACCTAAATTCCTTTGTAAATTTCATATATATAAAAACTGAGGTTCAATCACCATGCATTAATCAGTATATCGATATCCCTTTCTCAGGGAACATTGTGGTTAAGTGGTTAGGGAGCTGAACCCAGCTATTACATCCTTTAGTAATGTCCTTTAACGTAGTTGTTCTGATAGAACTTCTGCCTGTGTTGCCATAGTTACCTGATACCATGGTTTCTGGAGGGTTAACTTGCACTGGATGGACGTCTCATCAAGGGATAATCTTATTACTTCAACTTTGTTTAACTCTAAAGAAGGACCTTAAATATGTGAGGTTGATGTAATACCACTTTCCAAATACAGTGTTATGACACTAATGTGTTAATATCTTGGATATGTCCCATTATTTTCCCCTGCTTGCTAGCTGAGCTTGAAAAAGCCACGAAAAGCTGAATACCCTAATTGCTGGCAGATTGGTTTTGAAGCAAGGAAAATTAATAATAGATTGCATTTTAATACTACATGTAGATTTACAGATTATAAAGGCAGTGAGAGATGAACCAATATTTGTGAAAGAGCTCCATTGATTTCACAGACCTCACACTCAACTTTAGATGATTATAGTTTGGATGTGATTACAGTTTGTGCCTCATTCAAAAGTCAAACTGCAAATGGCACTATTGAAGGCAATTTGCACATCATTCAAAAGGCAACCTACAAATACAGTAGTTCGATCAAACGAAATGTAGTGGAAAAGCAGCTGAGAGTATTGTACACTTCACCATGTCATTTCAATTTGAAATCTGAATTCATGATGATGGTAATATTGTATTTCAGAATAAATGAAAAACATACACTGATCAATACAGATGATTCTAATTATTAATTAAGTCAACTTCAAAGCTTATGCCATTGAATTTCAAATAAATTATATAGATCGAGAGCATTCATTGCAAATAGTGTGCTTACACTATCGCTGAAAAATGTCATTCTGACATAACTTAAGCTTAAAACAGCATTTTGTCTTTACCAAAGTCTCATCAGGCTGTTATGACATGAAAATTACAGTTGTTTTTGGTAATGGTTTCTACAGGTTCAACATACTGTACAGTATAGAGATAGAACATTGCATTGGTGGGTGATGTGTAGAACATTAATAAGAGGGAAATGGGCTTTGCAGCCACATCCTAGCCTGAGATAGTTTCCTGTCATTGACAGAGCTGCTGGTGTTAAGGTATTTTGAGCAAATTAGGTAGATAGGAAACAACAGATCTGGGCCAATTTTCTGTGTTGTGCATTGCAAAGGATATGATCTCAAACAAAAAAGGACAGATTAAAAAGTAGTTGGGCTGGAATGTTTAATTCAAGTCCTTTTGTCCTCCTCAAACAGGACATATTCAGTGAAATGCGTAGGTTGGTAAACTCTTGGACTACAAAAGAATGTGCTTAACCTTAACAACAGCAGTGAAGGTGTTTTGGTAAATACCCTTTCAACCACTATGTCTGTATGAAGTTTCCTGTTGTTAGAAGTGCATTCATCATCATCATTGAATGGTAATTCTCTACAAATATAAATCAGTTCTCAATTTAATTTATTTCAATGGCTCTTTAAGTTGCCATATAATTTAATAAGGTACTTTGTCTAATAGCAATTCATAATGCCATTTAATCTTCTTTTTTTTCTCTTTTTATTAGCTTTTCTGTAATTTTAGAATGGATTAATCAAGTATCTAGCATTTATTTTGCTTAATTACTGTTAAACATTTGTTTTTTTTAAACAATTTTTATTAACTTTATTAACTAAAGCATGGCAAATCATATCCACTTTCCAGGCAGTGCTACCTAATCATGGAGTCCTAGCAAAGCACCCATAAATGGCTAAAACAAAGTACTGTGCCTTAAGGATTTGACCACGTCAACAGCAGCACTCCAAACCTCAACTATAGATCTGAAATCAGTGAACTGGAAAACTCAGTGCAAATAATGTAAAGACATGACAAGATCCAGTGAAGTCAGAGGAGAGAATCTGAATTAGCCCAGAGTTATACCTATAGTATATTTCCTTAGCT